TTGGTTAAAATGGAAAACTCATGTGTTATTAGTGAAAAGGCCCATAATTAAATTGATGTCATCCTTGTGCATGCTGGCTAAGCGTTTCTTGATGGTCATGGAAAAGTCAACATGTTTAAATTCACAATTCCAGTCTCTTTGTAAAACTCAAGTGGGGTGAAAACGTCCTTTGTTCTGCAGATATAGAAAAGCATGGCACCATCTACTGGTGAAAAAGGTTTTATTTATATCATATGGATATATTTTAAAAATAAATCATTATTGTAGCAGTGAGCATGTGCATAGGGATAGGGGGTAATATATTTCTGTATTTTTTAATAAAGAAGCTTTTTTGAGCACTAAAATGTTACAATTTATCATGTTTTGCAGCTGCAGAATGAGTGCAAGTTTGGTTTCTGTGCATTAAAAAAATAGTTTTAAACCTCCTGCATTGCTAGTTGAATCCATGAACATTCTAAAAGCTAGTCAGTGCTGATACAGGGTGCTCTTAGCATAGACTTTGTGGATTCACTTGCTGGCCCTAGGTTCTGTAATGGGTCTCGTTTGTTTTTTACCAGAAGTATGTCAGACAAAACAGGATGTTCTATAAACAGAACTATTCACTTTGGGCTATTCAGAGTGCTTTAATTGTCAGTAGTTTGTTGTGTTGCAAGTACCTTTCATGAGAAATGAAAACACAAATGACATTGTTCCCACACTGTGACTCCAGAAGTGTCTGTGGCTGATGTACAACAAAAGACAAAAATCGCGTTCAGGTTGCAGAGTAAAAAATAAATGGGGTTTGCGATGAAAGTTTGGGAGGGCTGACATCAGCCAAGTTCAGTTGGCCTCCGCGGTCAGTCATTCAACAATGCTGATGTCATTTCCTCCCATTAAGCATTATAAATACTGTACAGAATCCACTTTTTACACTCGCCAGCATCGTCTGCGTCCCTCACCCTCCTCTGCAGCTGCCCCTTAGTCACCCCTCACTCCGCAGGGGGGTCCCCAGCCTCCTCGGGTCAACCTTCAGCCAAGCAGGTTAAGCCCAGATTGTATCGTGACCAAAACACTCAAATCCTTTCAGGATGCTTAATTCCTGTGTTGTTATTCTTAGTGAAGTGTTGTTTCTGCCAAGGAACTGTAGCCTGTCCTCCATGGAAACACATTAATCAAGTGTTACAAACAGGCTTAGATACGCAATCCACATGCTCCTTGCTAATGGAGCATAAAAATAGGTGGACAAATGTATTTAAAACCCAAAAGTAGGTCACAGGCTGGTAAGATCCAGCGTGCCGGAGGGACAGGAAGAGTGCCAGCGCGACAGTAATGGGTGCCAGTGGAGTGTGTCGGGAAAAGGGAATCATCTCGGGCGATGGAAAATGCTCTGACCTTGCCGGGGAAAAAAAAAAACGGGTTTGTAACTGCTCAGATCTTAAACTCTTCCAGCCCCCACACCATTAGCAGAGGCCGCCCCATGACTTGACAAGCTGCCGTCTGTTCGAGGGGAATAAAGGCCTTTCTTGTGTGCGATTCGGATGCCGGGAAATAAAATGCCGCAATAAAACGAGGCGGCAAACAGGTGGAGGCGATATCCCCTGTCTGGTAATGGTGGCTAGAAGCATTCCTGACCTGCAATTCAAAGTGGAGTCCCCATGGCTCAAATTCAGAGGACTTCACATGAGCAGCACAACAGTGGAGCACCACTGGGTATTCAGGGCCCCTGGGGGGACAGGAGGCACGTTAATGGCACATATTGAGCCGTTCTGTCCAACACTTTAGATTAGGGGTTGCAAATTCCATTTACAGTTTTTTGTACTTTCTTCACTCAACATCACTTATAGATTGTCAGTAGCCTGGTACATGACCCTGATTAAGTGCATGTTCATTAACAATTGTCTGATTGCCATAAAATGTATATGTGATGTATAGTTGAGAGTTAATAGTCTGTTTGTCATGTATACAGTATGCGAAGTGTAATTTGCAGACCCTGAAACTAAATGTTACTCATGTACCTGCAGCTACACCAGTAGGCAATCTATGACTACACAGCTATGTCATTGCCTTGAAGCATCAGTGCTCATCAGCAACCCTAGAAGGCAGAAGGGTAAATAAAATGTTGTACGTGTTGGTTTCTGTGATCTCACCGGTCAGGACTGAGTGTTTTAATCTCTACTAAACTAACAGAACAATGAGTGTATTACTGATGCTTAAAACACCAGTGCAGGGTATGTCTGTTGTATACGGACGCAAACTAGCATCTTTATGTGATTAAATAATTTTCGTGCACTTAATTGTCCAAGAGTGCAGATTGATTTTTTTTTTGTGCTTGTATGCTGCCTAGATTAAACAGATCATGGAAGTTTGGCGAAACTTTAGAGGCTGTAGATGACAAATACATCAACACAGTTAATGTATTTATTAACTGTATTTACACTCTATTGCATTTATGTATTTGAACAATGTAAATTGTGATTAACTGTGTAGTTGATAATTAAACAGCCATAGGGTTCAGCTATAAAATGTAGAAACGGAATTTGTCAGGCTAAACTAAAATGCTACTGGAATGTTTAACACGCATAATAACACTTATGTTGATTTCATTCAAGCAGACTAGGATATTAAAACATCCTTAAAGGCTGCATTTATCTGTAGAGACTGTCGCTGTAGAACGTACAGCTCAAATGACATGGTGCCAGTATCATTTTGGATAGAATGTTTTTTTCTATTATTATTGATTTTATTTTTTTTTCCTTTTAGTTTTTCTGTGTTTTTTTCTCCTCCTGCGTCTGGGAGCGCAAACTCCTGTGGTCCTGTGGTCCTCTCTTCTGCGTCTGCTGCATTGAGAATCAAAAAACAGTTTGGTATTAAAAGTATATCCCAAGGAGTGTGGGTTTAAGGCACCAGCTCATGTCTGGTTTCAGTTTGTTATGCATTTCAGAGAGATCTCCTTTTTATTGTTAAGAGTCTTAGGAAAAACAAATAACCAGCTGAAATCCAGCTGGTAGCTTCCACTTCCTGTATAAGCTGTTATACAACGAAATCACAAAATCTCCTTTAAACGTCCTCCTCCTTTGCTGGCAGTAGAAACATAATTCTTTTTAATAAAACCTATTTCTAAAAAGTTTTCAACAGCTGGCTGGTTTCCACGACCTTGGGGGCCTAGCTGCGGGCCCGTTTCTCCTGCACAACTGTGCTCGTATTGTTAAGGCCGGCCCTCTGTGACTTGTCTCGGTGGTTTCACGTTACCCGAATGCTTTATCACCTTATGCGGTGATGAAAGAGTCTTTATCATCCAGCTCTGTGCATTTCCTCGTAGCCCACTTATTCCATGCATGGAGACAACCAGTGCTACCTGAGGAGAAAGCTTCTACTAACACATATACAGGGAAATGGCCAGCAGGCTCAAGGAGAGGTACACCCTGGATGGGACGCCAGTCCTTTGCAGGGCAGACAGAGACAAATACACACGGTCACACCAGGGCCAATTCTTTCCCAAGTCTATTAGTCTAAACCAGCTTGTTTTCAGACCGTGGGAGGAAAGTGGAGTGCCTAGATGGATTACATGTGAACCTGGGGAGAACATGCAAACTCCACGCAGACAGCACCCCAGCTCTGGAATTGAACCCAGAGCTGCAAGGCAGGAACGCTAAATACTGTGCCACTGTGCAGACGTCTACGTTCCTTTATCATAATATCATACTGTATATTTAATAATATGTTGTGGCTCCGCGCTAAACGGTTTCTGGCCAGTTTCTTTGGTCAGTTACTGAACATGACCAGCCAGTTGCCTCAGTCCATTAGTTGCAAAGCAGCCCCATTGCGGAGAGAGGTTCTCTTAGCCATTAGACTGTCAGTGAGCTCCCACAGCTTGACAAACATGTCGAGCCAGCTTGCTCAGTGTCACTTTTAGTCAAATAGGGAAACTGAAGCTCTCTTCAGCGACTAATGTGCAAATGGCCTTTTTTGATTCCTTAAAGTGCATGCATAACATAAATGGTTTTTGCACCACTTTGCTCTAGGATATGTTTCTTCATTTCATTTTTTCTGTTGAAGGAGAGGCTAATGTTTTTTTTTTTCAGACTGCAAAATGCAGTCTTCTTGGGGTGAGTGAAACAGGGTTGCAGTAGAGAGAGACACAATTTCAATTTCTCTTTGAAGTGACAAAAGCCCCCGTTCAAAAATATGTTTTACTTTCCGCCTTTTTTTCCTTCTGAATTAATGCTTTCAGCTAGAATAATTTTGCACGCTGTTCTTAGTGCCTCATTACAATATTGGCGTTTAGCAAAACCTCTTGTTCTTAATTGGAAAAGTCTCAGAGGTTCTCCACATTAAATAACGGAGGCACAGCGAAGGTCAAGAAAGGCAGATTATTTCAAAATCTTCTGGAAAAGAAAGAATAATTCAGCTGGCAAATAGACTGTTTACAACAAACATCAGGAAAGCACACACCCAGGAGAGAAGGTCTTAAAGCATCAGCATCCTTAATCCTTTCAATTCCTGCTTGGATTTTGTTTTTTTGCTACACTTCAGATTTTGTGCAGCGAAAATAAAGAGCCTTCTGTCAAGCACGTGCGTGCTGAAAAAAAGACCCCAGTGAGGCGCGGGCAGCCAAGCTGGTTAAAGGACAGACAAGAAGGCAGGCTGATGAGTGGCGTTTGAACATACTTCACTGACACTCGATAAACCACCGTGCGAGAAAGGGGACCCCTCCCGACATTTACAAGGTGCAACGTGAGAGTGCGGAACACTGCACCGCTGAGTTTTTCTTAAGACTACAATATGATCCCTTATTTAAGTCTCAAAAAAACGAAAAGAAAAAAATTCTCCCTGCCGTGCGTCACCTGTTACCTTATAAATACAGAAAGGCAGTCAGAAAGGCAAACATAGCTCTTGTGGAAATCAACCTTTCTTAAGACGGTAACCCAAAGCTAAAATGCTGGGGGACTGCGGGCTTGCCTTGGCTTTGAAGGAAATATGGACTCTCTCTTTCCTGAGAGACGTCTTCTTTGAATTTGCAGGCACCGGCATCTTCCTGTTCGCAAGCTTGGCCTCCACCCTCCTGTGGCAGACGGATGAGTTTCGGGGTGCAAACCCTGGGGCGTCTTGGACAGTGTCCGCCGCGCACACGCTCGCCTCGCCAGCTGTTGTGATCGGAGCGTCCCCAGACCCCGTCCGCGTGTCTCTTGCCTTTGGGATTTCGGTCGCTCTGGTGTCCCTGTGTCTGAGGTCAGGTGGGGGTGTTCATCTGAACCCCGCGGTGACCCTGGCGCTCTTGGCTGGACTGAGGGTGTCTCCACTGCGGGCAGTCCTTTACGTCTTATCCCAGCTTGGGGGCGCCTTGATGGCGTCCGCGGTGCTTCTGGGGGTGACTCCGGAGGCCATCCGGGGAAAAACTGGCATAAACGAGGTGAGTGGACATCTTGTATCGTCGGTTTGGTCATTGAAAACAAGTCCTCTGTCGCAATGATCCCTTTCTGCTGGCGTTTCTTTTTCAGCTGAGCCCAGGGGTCTGCGAGTATCAAGCCCTGTGTGTGGAGATGTTTGTCACCTTCCAGTTTGTCCTGTGTGTTTTTGCCACGTTGGATCCAAAATCTGCCCTCCATAAGTTGGCGCCTCTTGCGATAGGACTGGCCGTCACTCTGGGACATCTTGTTGCTGTAAGATTAACTTTATTCAATCTGTTCTTTTTTGTTCTCGTTCTTTTTTTAGAACTGTAACTATATCTACTGAACACTAGACAGTAAGCAGAAAAAAGTACTTCTTATGCTCTCACTGAAATTGAAGTGGGGTGGCTAGCATTGATGCAGATTGTGGATCCTGGGTTTGATTTCAGGCTGGGGGGCACCTTCTGTGTGGAGCTTGCGTGTTCTCCCCCGTGGTGCATGGATTTTCTCCAGGTGCTCCCAATTTCCTCCCACCTCCCCAGAGATCTGCATTCGTTTTAAACTGTGCGTGTGTTTGTGCCTCGCAACAGACTGGCTTGCGCCCTGTGGTTCTCTAATTGGTCTCAGGTCATCATGGCCCTTTCCAGGAATAAGCAGCTTCCAGTTTATGAATGCATGAGCATGCCTTCTCTTCCTGGGCCACAATCTTCCCGAGGTGATCACATGCCCTGTTTGTCTGATTTCTCCAGATTGGCTTCACGGGCTGCAGCATGAATCCAGCTCGGTCTTTCGGTCCTGCTGCGGTGACTGTTAACTTCAGATCTCACTGGGTGAGCCCTCGTCTCTGAGCCCTGTTATTTCCGCAGGTCTTCGGGTACCCTTTGAACTGGTCTTCTATTAATTACGATGTTTAATACACAGGAATGCCTAAGTCCTTAATGTAGGTCACATAGGGGATCCTGCTTCCCCATCACTGCAGTGCAGATCCCTTGCGGATGGTGGGGGACCTCCATTCTGCACCAGCTGCCCCACAACACAGCAGATCAGGTGGAAAAGGGAGAAATTCTTTCATCACTTTAACGGAGGAGAAGCTGTGGTGAAGCCAGGCTGTACGAGCCCAGAGTGGAATTTATCATTGACACCCGGGTTAACACCCGTGATCTCGTGACAGCAGGGGTCCTGTGTATGTGGATTTGCATGTCCCTCTTTGCGTTTTAATGGGCTTTTCCCGGATGCTTTGGTTTCCTCTCGCCTCCCGAAGGCATGCATGATTGGGTTTCATTGGATAATCCTGGTTGTCCCCTAGGGACTACTCCCAGTTCCCATCAGCTGACTGAACAAGGCCTAGCACAGAAAAACAAATGCCAGTAACTCAGAGCCTTTAGGCAGGCATGATACCGAAGTGAGTGTGATCAAAAAAGAATCTGCTGCATAAGCTTTCCTTGAGTCAAGGTGAAGATGCATTCATCATTCATGCTCAAGGCAGCTGTGGCTTCTGACGAGCGGTGTGTTACAGATTTGGTGATGCACTGTAATACGAATGAGGAATGGTTACGAACAGAAGGAGGCCACTCTAGCCCAGAACTGTCTAAGCTTTTTTTTTGGGACCGTTTGTCTTGCAGGTGTTTTGGGCTGGTCCCTGCGGAGGCGCTGTCCTGGCCTGCCTGATGCACGATCTGATCCTTTTTCCCAGGTGGGGCGGCAGGAAGGAGTGGCTGCTGGAGATGAGAGCGTCCTGCCTCCGGGATAGCCGCCCGCAGCCAGGCACCAGGGAGACGGAGTAGGGTTCTGGAAAAACGCCGCTCCTCCGATAGGAACAGGGCGAGCGTTACAGTTTTGAGTCTGACTTCACTATATAGGAAATGTGGAAATGATAACTGTGAACCACATTTCAAAATACGGGTAAAGCATGACATTTGTTAGACATCTTTTCACTCTACATCTGTTCGCCTCCCTTTCCAAAACTAGTCTGAGAAATATGTTTTCATTTCACACCAAACCTTCTCTTTCTAGAGATGCATAAGCCTTTTAGAGCGTTTTTTTGCACCAAAGACCACCATTACCTCTCTACACGGCAGACGGAATGAAGTATTTAGAAGTGCAACAGGCAGTTTGTGATGAAAAACTATTGTCAGGAATAAAATATGTAAGTTATTAGCTACTAAAACTAGTTTACTTAATCATTTCTTTTGGAGCATGTCCAAATATCTTTTTTTTCTTGACAGAAAATAATTTTACACACCGGGTCTCATAAATTTAATAAGCAACATGTCTGTGAACAAATTGTAAGCTGTTTTTAAAACAGATATACATGGGATAGCTGCTATACTTATAGTGCACCACAACACAAAAGCAGACTATATTCCCTGGTAGTGTATAGCTTAAAGATGGATAATATTAGTTGCCTCTTTAGATGTAATATTATTTGTACCACTAAAATAAAATGCTGCTGTAATGCATAAAATTCGTTTGATAAAAATCGATTAATGATGTATCATGAAAGGTGATGTTAAAATAAACTATTGTTATTATTGATGCTGTAGTTTAAGTACTGCTTCAGAACTATTACTGGAACAGTAATAGTTATTTCACTCATGACACTGATGCCTGACAGTTGCTCTGAGATCAGGAAGTTTGCTTTTTCCTCCTTGAATTTATTTTTAATTCCGTGTAGCTTGCCAAGGAACCTTATCAGCATTCTTTAGGAAGAGCTGTGTTGTGTCTTAATTATCTGGTTCACCCAGCTCTCTGTATTGCATCGCTGTAATATCTGTTATCAGAGGAATTTCAGTATTCGCTGCTGCATTGAGAGACTGGCATGAAGGCGACACATGTCTTCGTATTCTGTTGAAATCAGGCTGTTCAGGCCTCAAGTTCCAAGGAGACTGGAAGCTGTTTGCTTTTGTTTCTTTCCTCCATAGTTTCCAGAGACTTCTTGGATTCACAAAGCTGGCAAACCTGTGCCTTTGGGACCAGGAATAACCTGTGTGCTCAGCAAAGCCTTGCTAACAAAGCATGGTGATGAGCTGGGGATTTTCAGGATCATTTAGAAATATATACGTTCAGCCTATTGTAATATTTCAGTATTATATTAGTATGCACATATAAGGACTGCCAGCAGCCATATCACCCTGCAGCTCTCAACTGGCTACCCACTGAAGCTAAGCAGGGTTGAGCCTGGCTGCTGCTGGAAGTGGTGTTAGTGAGACCAGTGGGGGGCGCTCACCCTGCGGGCTGTGTGGGTCCTAATGCCCCAGTATAGTGGTGGGGACACTATACTCTAGTGGGTGCCGTCTTTCGGATAAGAATTTAAACCGAGGTCCAGACTCTCAGTGGTCATTAAAGATCCCCGGACATTTCTTGAGAAGAGTAGGGAGTTATCCCAGTGTCCGGGCTGAATTTCCCCCCTTGACCTTTACCGTGGCCTCCAAATTGTCCCCCTGTATGATGGGCTTGCACTGGCCCTGCGATGGACTGGCGCCCTGTCCAGGCTGTACCCTGCCTTGCGCTCGTTGCTTGCTGGGTAGGCTCCGGCTTCCTGCGACACTGTATGGTATAAAGCGGTTTGGTGAATGACAAGGCATACAGTATATAAGGTTTAATGCAGTATTCCATTACCTACAGAACCTCTCATAATACACGCAGAGAAAGGTGTGACCCAATGCTTTGGCTGTAGAGCCACCTTCTACTGTACCTGAAGAAACATTGTTTCACAACAAATTCTCCTTTTAGAAGGAGATTTTCAATATTTTAAAAGGTGGAGACAAAATTAAATGGGAACAGTGTTCGATATGCAAACTAAAAAAAACCTAACCAACCTTTTCTGACTAAACACCTAGAACATGGTTGTACCAGCCTTCCAATTTTTCTCGATTTCCTTAGAGTTACAAGGTGTAAGTTGTAAAATGCAGAGTTTCATAAAATCCCCATGAACAGACTCTTGTCTGCACCTGGATAATCTGCGGTATATATCAATGTGTTCACCATGGTTCAAAACGGCTAGCTTGCTCCTGGACTTCAAAAGTTAGCTTGCTTTAAAATACACTGCCATCATCGCTTCAGACCGTGCCTATTTAGGGAGGGAACATCGATGACCTTTCCAGTGTTTTGTTACTACACTTTACACAGCTTTTTAACTGGATATATTGTATGCTTTAGAAACTTCTCAGAAAAGCCTGCACACATTTTCGGGTGAAATACAGTGTTTGAAGCCCTATTTAGCTGTAGAAAATTATCCAATAAAATGTTCGTCACTGTTGAGTTTAGTGCCGAGTTCCAACCACAGGGCAAGCCTATCACAGCCACATATCTAGGGTGTTTGCAGTTTCTGCTAGTCATTCAGCTGGTTGACGGAAATCCCCTCAGATAAGTCCCGCAAATGGTCTTATACCACTGAGAGCTGACAGAAGGCTCAACACACCGAAGCCAAGCGGCGCAACTCTGAAGATGGCGAGGGGGTGTAATGGTTATCGATCGCAGGGCGCGCGCCTCCTCTGTGCCGCAGGACCCCTGCTCTTTGCAGCTCTTCTCTGCACAACCTCCGGCATAAACATTGACCTCAAGACCCCGTCTATCTACACCGGGCCAGAGGGGAGCTATTTTGGGTTTTCGGTGGATTTTTATCAGACAAGTAACAACTTGTGAGTGCCACCTCTTTTCTCATGTGGAACATTAAGATATTTGGAATGCGATGTGCCAGGTTGCATGGTAAAAGGTACTTTTCATTTTTAAAGGTTAATTCAGCGTTTCTCTTCGAGCTGCATTTCTTCATTTGCGCTTTAAAATGAGAGCCTGTGATAGAAATGCACAAACAGGACAGAGTTTGCAAAGTCACTTGCTAGCAGGCAGATTAGAAAGAACATTTGTCCTGTTCGGCGCATAATGTGAAGTGAAAGAGTTCAGGAAATAAGTTTTAAGGAGTCCTAAAACTCCCTTATCAATCACTCAGCAAATACAGTGCAATAGAAGGGTTAAACTCAAGAGCAGGTGTTCGGGTTGGTTGCTGCAATCAAAATCCCATCCAAATTTGGACTTTTTCAGGGATCACAAGATGATGGTTTTAATATTTCAGCCGTTTTGTTCCTACTGTATACGTTTCATTTACTATGCAAAGGAAAAGCCTGTGAATCCCGATACAATAATGGGAATTAGAATTTCTTAACACGCTCCCCTTGTCTAATTGAAACTGGTCTTTTCTTAAATAACCAAAAGGGTTTATATTTACGGATTCAGTGGGTTTATTTTTGGAAAGGCATTGGTGTGTGAATTTAAAAAATGAATAATAAACAGTGTATGCGAAATACGTTAACCCCTAGTTGAATTCACTGTCGCTCAGGGAGGTGCCAACTCTCAGGCCGAAGTGTGTCATATATGTCTCATTCTAGAATACCGTCTCATTTCTAATGCCCATAGCTACCAGCTACAGATAGGTGAATAAATAACTACAGGTTATATTAAAATGTGGTATTTTAAAATTTAATATGGTCCGCCTCTCCGATTGCTATAATTTTGTCCAGGTTTTTCAAGTGCGGTCTGTACTAAGAAAGAAGACCACCATTCGTGAAACTGTATAACCATCCTAACAAAATGAATCTACAGTATGTGTGCTCCCTTGGGCTCACCAGTGTCATCATATGACGAAAATGTCATCTCTCTCACAACATACACCATTGTAGAATGCGCATGCACTCGCCTTATAATAATAATAATTCATAATAATTGCTTACACTTATATAGCGCTTTTCTGGACACTCCACTCAAAGCGCTGTACAGGTAATGGGGTCTCCCCTCCACCACCACCAGTGTGCAGCCCCACCTGGACCTTAAAAGCATCCTCCATGTTACAGACATTTACAAGGGTTCCTCAGAAATCCATTTTGGAGCAATGAAAAAGAATGCCTTGAGTTCTCTGATGCGGGTATGTTTTTATTCTGTTGCTGTTTGTTTCATGAGCTGGTTGTTTTGTATGTAATATCACTCTTGTTTTTGATTGCTTGTAGGACAGCCCCCTCTCCCCCCTTCCCTGCTGCAAGTCTGTTTTGGGTCAGTGGGTCTCTTTTTCCTGTTAACGTGGGTTTTTAACCCACTCCAATAAACAAAAGCACGCTGTTTCAGTTCTGATTCACCGAAATCGGTATCAGCTGGCTCAGGAGCAGTATTTGAGCTGACCCACATGTTTTCCAAGACCAAAGAGGTGCTCTCCTGGAGCAGACGCTTCTGGGAGAGTTTTGAGGTTCTCTCTCTCCGTCTCTTCCTACGGCAGAGTTCATGTGGTCGTTGGGGCTCCCAAGGCCAACACAAGCCAGCCTGGCGTGACAGAGGGGGGTTCAGTGTTCCTCTGCTCCTGGCCACCACAGGGAGGAACATGTGATGTTTTGCCTTTTGACATGAAAGGTAATGTGATCAAAGTCTTCAGCACACAGCTGAATCGTGACTTCGGCTACAAAACTTCTAATGTCTCGACTGATTGCTTTTCACTTTTATAGACATTTTTTTAACTTTTATTATTAATTTTTAGTTGACTTTTTTTTTCCTTGTTGAGCTGTGGAACAAAGACCTCTTGACAGATTTATTCTATAAATAAAACAACAGTGCAGCTGGTGCCCCAGTAGCTCAGCCAGTGAAGGCTTTGGCTCAGAGCTCTGTAACCCAGCGGCTGCAGGTTCGAGCTGGGGGCAGGTCACGAGCAGCAGTGTACAACTAGAAGAGGATTGTTAGGGTAGTGGCGGGTGGGTTAGAGTTGGGATTAGTTGAGCAGGGACCTCTTTAAAAAAAAAACAATGCCCCTGTGACTTCCTGGGTGCTTGTGGTGATGTCAGAAGGAGCCTTGCTGCTCCTCCAATTGGCTTTGACCCTCCTGTGAGGCAGTGTGGTGCTCACAGTCTGTCTCATGACCGATGACTTATTTTGTGGGTGTGTCAGAGGAGCATCCTTGCCCCTCCTCATTCTCCCAGCACAGTACAGTCATCAGTGCAAAGTGATGTAAAGTGCAAAAAAATAAAAACAAATGTAGTTAAATAGGTGTGGTAGGAAGTTAAGAGTTGAATGTTTTTACTGTAATAAAATGCTGGATTCATCCTTAAATTGGTTAGTGTTTCGAACTACAAAATATCCAGGAAATGTAGTTTCCTAAGATTTTCATTAGATTTTGGGCTTGAAAATGTTCATGGAAGCAGTGCAGGAATTTCTATGCATTGCTGTCTAGCTCCATAGTAAACTCATACTGCAGCCCCAGTGAAGAATTTGCCACCAAGCTGTTTTTATTCCTCAACAGGTGATGGTACTTACAAATTTGGGCATCTGACTTTAACAGAGCATAAATCCCACCAGTGGTTTGGAGCAAGTGTGCGATCCAAACAAGATCTCATTGCGGTAAGTAGGCTCCAAAATGTTACTTGGATAGCTAGGTAGATTCAAACAGCGGGAAAACCGTTTTAATATTGTTATCATTTCATGAGACGCGTTTTCTTTTACGTCATGTGCTTCCCTTGATAATCTTTGGTTTCCGGATTTCTCCTTGAAATTCCCCTTCTCTCTCCTGGGCGGATCTGCAGCGGTGGCTAGGGAGTTTAAACCGCGGTGACGAGTTGTGTTTTCTCTCCACGGCGGCCACCCTGCCAGCCATAGACGCAGCATGAAAATGTCCAGCAGCAGCGAACACGATTTACTCGCCAGGGGCAGCACTGACCGGCACAGCAAGGGATTTATAAAAGCCTTACGGCAGGGACTCCTCTCATTTCCTGTGAGCCTTCCTCTGTACTCTCTCCTGCAGGCTTGTGCTCCTCTCTACGAATGGAACGTCGAGGATCTGGGCGACACTTCAGGAAAAACGCCAGTGGGGATTTGCCAGATCCTGGATATGAAGTCTAACACGTGGGCGGACTACTCCCCCTGCAGGAAGACCAACACAGAAACGTTCTACGACCACAACAGATACCGTAAGCAGCGCAAGCTCCCTTAATCTTCCCAGACCTCTCTGCTGTGGGGAAAATAAGATAAAGATCAGACCACTTTATTGGCCATAAACAATTTCTTGCATTAGGAATTTGTCTTTTTCGCATACCCCAGCTTGCTCTCCATGAGACACACAGACAGGGAGAGAAGCTGGGGGTCAGAGCGCAGGGTCAGCCATTGTACAGCGCCCCTGGAGCAGTCGGGGTTAAGGGCCTTGCTCAGGGGCTCAACGGAGTAGGATTCCTCTGCCCGCTGCGGGATTCGAACCGGCACCTTTCCTGCCACAGGCACAGATCCTGAGCCACAGAGCCACTCTGGTGATTCCCGAGAAATGTCACTAACACTCGACTTTATGACAGACAAGTGGTGGTTGGAGAATCTGGACTCCTGGTCTCCAGAGAGGTACAGCTGCTGTAGTCGATAGCAAGAAACGTCACCCACATTTGCTCCAGTTGTATTTTATTTTGGATAAAAGTGTCCGTTACATTTACACCACCACAATTCGTTTATACCACCATGAAAAACAGAATGTTACTTCTCTGACCGTGCATCCTATATGCTAATCATTATAAATGAAAATGAGCCTGTTTTTCTATTGTTTTTTCCCTGTGCCTGAGGATTTTGGGGTGTTCCTTGATTTTGGGGGAGGGAATGTGGAGGGGGGGGGGGGTGGGAATAGGGGAAGTAAAGGAGATAAATAGGTTCATTTTTTAACCTTATGGTACATTTTTCTCAACAACAAATGGGCAGAAAACGATCAAAGAAAATGACATGAATCATTGACTGTGCTTTATTTCCAGGTGGAGACCGCCGATACTGTGAAGCTGGGTTTAGCTCTGATATTACACAGGTACCACTTCAACATTTGTGCATTATGATTATACAGCACTGTTAGACAGCAGTCAAGAGATGCATCCTGAAAACTTCCATCAAAAACTTTATTTGACTTTTTAAGTTTTTAAGTGCATGGAATACATGTCAAAAAAGACTGAAACCCGGAGGAATTCTCTTGCTCTCTATAAAAATTTAATTTTTTTTCAGGATGGGAAGATTTTACTGGGGGCTCCTGGGGGCTATTTCTTTCAAGGTACGTATGACACGCCGCAGCTGCCGAGTGGCCAGTGGTTTCCATCTCCTGCCTGCAGGGCTCAGCTAGTGACCGGTCAGGTCACAGGGTCATCTCCGTGGTTACCATGGGAGCACGACGGCGAGTGTGTTGCATCTGCCGAACGTGCCGACACTGCTGGGGGGGAGGTTCCCATGTCTTGTAAGGTAGTCCTGCCGGGTTTGGGACTCTTCCAGGGAGATCCCTGAACGTTTTAAAGCCTGTTCTACCACGACTGTGGAAATTGTACTTTTAACCTTTTTACTAAATCGACCGTTGAGGCTTAATTAACAGGTCGAGGCATTACAGTAGAACTATTAAGGTGTTTTTTTTTCTTATTCAGTGTAAAATTGTGTTTTGAATGATTTATTGTGAAAGCGTATAGCTTAATTGAATTTTCCACTTGTCTGGTGTTAATTAATAGCCTATGGGTCCCTATTTAAAAGTGGGAAACGGTGCACAGTGAAAAAAGAACGGGTATGGAGTTAAGTAATGGAAAATATAAACCTTGAACAGCAGCCAGACCAAATAATAAACGGCCAAAATGGGCTCCCTAAGTGCCAGTATCAGTTAGGAAAGATGTATTAATTAACGAGTTAGAGTTAATTTCATTTAATTCTGGAGTAATTTTAAAAACCACTTATGATAGCAAAGACATACTTCACTCACGATCAATGCAAGTTCTCGCCCTCCTCCCTAGCGCCTTTATTGTGTGACGTGAGCGCCCTCTGCTGGTAAAATTCTAGCTATGCACTTAACGGGTGTGTGTAGGACGGCGCGATCTCCTACACCGTGTCCGCGGCCAAGCGTCCGAATTCTGTATGTGAACTATTTAAAGCGCAGTCATGTTCACAAGGTACAAAACTGAACTTTCTTTCGTTGCTTGAAAAATGAAAAGGGATTTATGTGAGGGCGCGAAAACCTCATGTTGTGCCTCATGTTTAAAGACTTCAAACTGTCCGGTGAATTAAAAATAAAAATTGGCCATTTCTTCCCTTTCACGAAAGGCCAGATCATCGCGGCCAACATGTCGGAGATCTTCAGAGTCTTCTCACCTCAAAATCCAATCCGCACCATGAGTACAGAGACTCTCTCCTTGGAATACCAGGAAAGCGAATACGATGAGTACTACGGTAAAGCTCGGTTTGTAGGGCTGCCAGAAGTCAAGGTGGACCACTACACCTGTGATGGGGATGTCTGTGCATTAACAGAAGCATGAGCAGGGAGGGAGGGGGGTTGTACAGTTCTGTCCCTCCATCCATTTTCTAAATACTTGATCTAAAACGGGGTTACGGCAGAGCCCATAGCTGTCCCAGCAAGCAGTGGGTGCAGGACAGAGTGTACATCCTGGAAGGGACACCAGTCCATTGTAGGGCACACACAGGCACACACTGCCACCAGGGCCGGTTTTCTTACAAGCCTATTAAAGTATATCTTTGGACTGTGGGATTCATCTGGAGCGAACACCTGCGATCATGGGGAGAACATCTAATAATTATTGATAATAATTCCTTAGGCTCCTATAGCACTTTTCTGGACACTCCACTCAAAGCGCTCTACAGGTAATGGGGATCCCCTCCACCACCACCAGTGTGCAGCCCCACCTGGATGATGCCTTGGCAGCCGTAGTGCAACAGTACACTCTCCCCACACACCAGCTCTCAGTGGGGAGGAGAGCAGAGTGATAAAGCCAGTTCAGAGATGGGGATTATTAGGAGGCCATGATGGAAGTTTAGGTGGGAATTTGGCCAGGACACTGGGGTAACACCCCTACTCTTTTCAAGAAACACTCTGGGATTTTTAATGACCAAAGAGAGTTGGGACCTTGGTTTTATGTCTCATACGTAGGACGGCACCTTTATAGAGTATAGTGTCCCCATTACTATACTGAGGCATTAGGACCCACACAGGTAAGGGGCCCCTACTGGCCCCACCAACAGCAAAAACCTTAGCTTTCCCAGGAGGTCTCTCATGTAGGTGCCAGCCAGGCTCACACCTACTGAGCTCCAGTGGGCTGCCAGCTGTGAGTTGCAGGGTGATATAGCTGCTGGCGTACAAACTCCATGCAGTATAGTTCTGTCATTGATTTGCAAATGTAGTTGGAGATACACCTGTCTCATTCAGTAGGAGCCCCTTACTACACAAGACCCTTTTCTGAGCAGGACCCCCAGGGGCTTGTGTGTTCGATAAGCACAAACAGCCATGTTGTTGATTGTTGGCGAAGTAGTGCCTGGGTTAGTAGGACATTTCTTTCTCTTCTTCCCTCTTTTCCAAGGCTACTCCACGGCAGTAGGAGAATTCACAGGGGACTCAACGCCAGGTAAGCTCCTGAAGTCCATTTTCCAGTTACACGTACTGTACATGTCCTTGGTTTCTGGATATGCATTTGGTGACATTACATTCCACACTCAAGATCTCTCAGCAGGAGGAATAGCAAGGCATTACTTGGCTTTCTTGTTGCCACACAAAAATCAGAATTTCTCATGTGATCGTGAGCTTATTTTTTTAAAAAAGCAGGTAGGTTATCCTAGGGAGGTCAAACTGGAGTTCATGTCATCCAAGCCCGTTTTCATTTCCTTATGTTTCATTTCTGGACACTCTATAATGTTGGTTTTCCATTGCAGATTATGTAGTGGGCGTTCCAAATGACAGACACACAGCTGGTTCTGTAAGTCTTTTCTTTCTGTGACAAACACAGTCCCTTCTTTTTTGTCCATTAATTTGTCTTTCTGCTTACTGAGTGGCTGTAAAGGGCTGTGTCCGTGGTGCTTTGTAAGTGTCTTCACTCCTTCAGCTTCAGACCTCTTTAATGGGGACATACAGAGCTAGCCATTCAAAATGAGCATTAGTTCAGGAGGGTTGAACCTGCCTTTACAGTATATCTGCGCTGCATTAAAATGTGGTGGACGTTGCACAGCATATGGCCTCATACCGCAACATACCATGTTTACAAAGAAATTGGACTATGGTAATGATTTGAGCTATATGAAAATAAATAAATCCTTAAATATCATTATTAATTTCTTTAGATATGCGATTCCATATTATATTCCCTATTAATCAAATTCTTAAAAGAAAGCTTTTTTTTACTGCGATAAGGAGCACAAGTATTCACAGAAAAGGTTATAACACTATGACTTTTTATAAAGTATATAATCTTAATATAGTCAGAAGGAGCACATAAAAACTTTTCCAAAATAACCACAGTAAGTAAGACTTTGATGTTTAAAATATTTATGAAGAAAGTGGAATACTGGTGTGTATTTTTTATTTAGCCATATACAGCTTACACAATGTTTATATTCCAAAATTAATTTAATTATGATGTTCAGAGATGTTATGCTCCTGTTAGTTTTGTGCTCAGCTACCAAAATTTCCCTTTAGTTGTAAAATTCCATATAAATATTCCATATTAAGCGGATTTAAACATGCACAGTAAAGAGATTAAATGAAGCAATTGTTTCACTAACAACAAATGCACCACGAGTGTCGCCTGTTAGTCATTTTGGCCAGCCAGTCATGTACCGCGGTATAAGGCCCTAAGCTGCAGATATATTCACGCAGTACAGGGTTTTACCATGCATTTTGAATGGCTGCATCTGTATCTGGCCAACTGTAAATGAGTAAAGAGTGCAGAATCGAGATTCATTATACTGCAATTCCAAACTGGCTACAGGCACAGAGCAGAGCTTTCCGGTCCAGGGTCTCCAGACCCCAATCTGCGCTGGCTTCTGGTCCATCTGGCCTCTGCATTATTTAATGGCACCCGAGATGTAACTAATAATCTTCTGATCACACCTTTGAATCGTTTTCCCATCTGTGTCTGACATACAGTAGTCTTTTCGGAAGAGGAAAACAAATAAAATTTATTCATCAGATTATCAGCTCCATTAAGCACCTGAAAACCCAGCTATGACAGGGAACAAGCTGTCACAGGGGTCACAGGTATGGAATCTTACTTTTTGTTTTGTATGATGTCCTTCCAGGTGAAAATCTACAATGGAATGTCATCTTACATTTTGTATATAATCCACACTTTCCACGGCACCCAGGTAAAAACAGATTATCAATTACAAATCGTGCCTTGGTCTTATAAAAATCTCTTTTTTAAGCTACTGTTTTCTTATGTCGTCGTCTTTGACCGGCAGAAGTATTCTACTAAAGCAACAGTATCCTTCTGCAGAAATCTGAAGGTTTTTTGTGTAAATTTCCCACAACCTCCAATCTGTGTTTGCAATAGCTCTATTTCCCTTTCATTATTCTGATCACTGCTGTATATGTGTGTTACTGAGCTGTACAATTTGAGGTTTGTGTGATTCTGGTGCAAAAGTAATCATTGAGAGAAAAAAAAAACTTCATTATTCTTTCTTTAGGTAGCGTCCTTCTTTGGTCATAGTGTGGCTGTGACTGACATTAACAATGATGGGTAAGACTATTAGATATTTCTATACATTTACAGGTCACATCAAGGCCCAGTCTTTGAAATGGATTCCAGGTTTAGATGTACGTCTGCATACTGTATATAGAAAGATATATTTACATTATTCATTCCTTTTGGATAAAGGAATTAAAATATGGGAACAGGACACTGTAATGTGCCAGTTCTTCTTGGTTTAAACCCTTTGTTTTGAAGTCTGGCAGGAAGAATGGGTGAAGAGTGTGCCCTCTGCTGGTAAGAGGTGATGGTGCACGTCATGCACTAACACGCATGAAGACTGATGTGCTTTTTGGAGTGACCTGGCCATTGTGTGAGACAATAATGTCTTGCTGAAGCCCTGCTAAACTGCGATAAAATCCACATTCCCCAGATTCATGAATAACCCATTCTCTCCCTCCCCCAAACACCCAGCAAATCTGCTGTTATGCTAGAGTGCTTTTGCACCTGAAACAGCTTGCTGTTAACGTCTACAGACATTGCCTTTGTAATTTACATTGACATTGTAACTCCAAAGTCTCTCTAAGTTCACTCTTATTTTTTTATATGCGTGTTCATTTGTTACTCTTATACCTTTACTTGAAAAAGTACCCTTGACAGCACCCCTGCAGCTCTTCAGCAATCCTGCGCTGTTTCAGACGACAGCGACATCGCCACCTTCTCTCTCCCCCGCTTGAACTGCTGTAGGGGATGAAAGGGCTCTCCTCTCCTCCAGTACCTGAGAATCTCCTTGGGAACCGCAGGGACGAAAAGCTCGACCCTTCTGCTCCGGAGATCTGATCTAGGATCTAGGACAGAAGTTTAAAAGGGCGCAGTCGTGACCCCTGTGCCCCTGCTTGCCATAGGAGAGACGACGTCTTGATCGGGGCGCCTCTCTTCATGGAGCACCAGTCAGACAAGAAGCTGCACGAGGTCGGCCAGGTGTCCCTGTTCCTGCAGCGGCAGCTCGGCGCTTTCTCCGAGAAGCCCACCCAGAGGCTGACGGGCGGGGCTGTGTACGGCCGGTTTGGGACGTCCATCGCCCCCCTGGGAGATATCGATCAGGATGGCTTTAACGGTGAGAGCCCTGGTTGCTGTAGCTGTTGCGCTTGTAGGCCCCGGCTCTTCTGTGTGCTAAACCTGAACAGCGAAACGTTAGCAATCACAAAGGGAGGGCACCCAGGGGGCTCTGTCAGCAAGGGCGCTCTCGCCTCGTAGAGCGCAGGCTGGATTAGGGCGTCACGAACGCAAGACTGTCACCGGGAGTCAGGTAGATTCTGGTTCCCTTCAGAGTAGGGCTTGGATTTAGTCATCTGGGTCTCTCCCAACTAAACGTTTCTGCTGTTTCTCTGTCTGAGCTCTTGACCTGCACAGCCTGCATGAGCAGTGGCTCCTTGCAGTGGTACAGCTCTTTACAGTGGTCCAGCTCCTTGCAGTGGTCAGGCTCCTTGCAGTGGTCAGGCTCCTTGCAGTGGTCAGGCTCCTTGCAGTGGTCAGGCTCCTTGCAGTGGTCAGGCTCCTTGCAGTGGTCAAGCTCCTTGCAGTGGTCAGGCTCTTTACGGTGGTCAGGCTCCTTGCAGTGGTCAAACTCTTTACAGTGGTCAGGCTCCTTGCAGTGGTCAGGCTCCTTGCAGTGGTCAGGCTCCTTGCAGTGGTCAGACTCTTTACAGTGGTCAGGCTCCTTGCAGTGGTCCAGCTCCAAGGTGCATTGGCTTACTGTTCCAACAAAGCATTTCTCAGAGCATCCATGTGATCTGGCTCTGCTCTTCTGCCGCACTGAGCAGGTATTTATCGTGTTTGCCTTTCATCCTGCTGTTCTGTTTTAGATATAGCTGTGGGGGCCCCCTTTTCCGCAGGAGAGGGGCGTGTGTTTATCTTCATGGGTCAGAGTGACGGGCTGAGGGCGCAGTACGCTCAGCTGCTCGAGAGCCCGTTCCCCTCACATGCTTTGCCTGCAGCGTTTGGGTTCGCCCTGAGGGGAGGAACTGACATCGATGACAACGGCTACCCAGGTGGGAACAACTTCCAGTCGCACTCGTGTCGCTAATGTGGACCCGAGACATATCCAGACATTTTTGTGCGGGCTTTGCTGAGTAAGTCAGTTAAAAAGCACAAAGTACGGTTATTGCCTTATCCAAAATTATTGTGGGATAATTTGGTGGATTATTTCTCACTAATCAAAGTATTAATCTGCAGAAGAAGAAATACTTTGCTCATCAGATCGGAATTAGGGATGACCATTTGAAAGGGTTTTATAGACAAGTAAATGCTGTTTACGTAATTCAACAATTCCGCCAATGATTTCAGGTTCAAATACACAGCAGGTCAAACCAAAAGCCCAGGTCTGAAAAACTCTAACTGACAAGTTAGATAAATAATACTGCGTGCTTATGGGATTGTAGGGGCCTTCTGTGACACAACTTGTCTTTTTACAGCGTAGAGGTTTGTTTTTGTGAAGATCGCTCAATTTCCCTGGGGTACAAAAACAAAGTTCAATTTTTTCTTTTTAGAACGGTGACCAGGAGTTCAGAGACATAATTTGTTCCCAGTGTCCGTAACACACAGTCCTTAGACAGAGCATGAAAAAGAAATGCAGTGACATAGATTCATGGTCAGCCCACGCAGTTACCATAATCAGTCATGTAAATGCACAAGCAATCACTATCAGTATGAGAAGAGCTCATTTTAAATGCAGGGCTACTTTGTCTTACAGACCTCGTTGTTGGAGGGTGGGGTGCTGGCAGAGTTGCTGTGTACAGGTAGGGACACAAGCAACAAAATGAAAATGTCTTGAATTCCTTCTTGGCGTGACATGCCTTCACACTCCTCAGAATACGACCTAGAGTTCCTCTTGTTGGAAATCTGAAAGCGACTGGCAAGGTGGTCTAAGAGATTGAGAGAAGGAGCTCTGATGTTTAAGAAGGAGAGTTTTCATTCTGTTCAATCTGTGTGCCCTGCTGTGGTCTTCTCCTTCATAGATCCCTGGCAGTCATTAGGGCCAAAGCCACCCTGTCCCTCAGCCCCAGTGTCCTCAATCCTGAAGAAAAGAAATGCCATCTTCCAAAGACCAGCATATCTGTGTCCTGGTAAGAAAGAGAAGGATCATACTCCCTCCCTCTTGAACCTGCCATTACAGTGTTTTATTTCCCCCAAATTACAGATTATTGCACTTGGATTTTTATTTAAAGCACATTCAGGAGGTTTATTATTTATTATTTTAGAAAATGCAGGCCAATTGCACATGAAGGAGATCCCAATCAATAGTGCTTTTTAAGAAGCTCTTCCTTCTCCTGAGCTCGAAATGCCTCATTTGTATTACTTATGAATCTTCCAACACTATTGTTAAAACCTATGTGCATGAAATCAAGAGCTGATTCTCTCTTTTTTGTATTTCAGTTTTAACATCACGATGTGTGTAAGTGTGTCAGGGAAAAACATACCAGAACAGATAGGTAATTGCAATTTCTGTTTTTAAAACAAGTAATCTCCAACTCTGGATTTGTACTCAATTTGTGCGTTTAGTTGAAGCAATTTAAGGATTCCACTCAGTATTGCAATCCTTGCAATCTGAAGCACAGTGCAATTTTAAACATTTTCTAAATGCTTTTTATTTTCAGACCTGGACACGGAGGTCAATTTGGACCGAATGAAACAGAGATTGCACAGAAGGACTCTGTTCCTGGACTCTAACCAGCCACAGGATCGATTTAATATGTCTATAAAGAGAAACACTGGATTGATGTGCAAGACCTTTACTGCATACCTTAGGGTAGGCCTTGGCCTGTTTACTCCTTGCCTTCTCACGCCTTCTCACACACAGTACAGACCCCAGCATGATTACTGGTATTCGCAACACAAGCACGATCTGCTGGAAAATCTCCGGGTCTCTAAAGGCACTTGGGGATTTTCCAAAGGCCTGGCATCGCACTGTGGAAAATGAGCTCCCATGTGGAGAACTATGATGGGAGTGGACGTGTGAATTCAGCAGTAACACATGCTTAATTATGAGCCACCAACACTGTGTGAAACACCTCCTTTGTTGGGTCCCTGTGCTTTGGGGGGGGGCACAACTCTGCAATATTAATTTGGGCAACCTTGTTGTGAAAGGTGCTATACAAAAATTAATTGAATTGAATATTATACACAGCCTGAACGTTTGATTGACTGGGAAAACAAAATAAAGCATCATTGCATTTGCTCCTATATGTTAGCTTCCCCATCTCTTTGTCTTTAGGACGAGTCGGAGCTGAGAGACAAGCTGAGCCCCATTTTCATCAGCCTGAATTATAGCTTCGTTGACTCTCGCTCGCCAGTGGCTGTTCTGCATGGGCAGAAGGCTGCAGTCGTCCAGGTGATGAGCCGCTGTACCTGATACTTAAAGATCTAAGTCTTGATGCTGTCTGCTGGGAGCCCTTGATGGCTTGGATGTGTATTTTCCCAGTGTGCCATTATACAAGCTTGCTTCACGCAAAAATAAATGTTGCCTTGATTTAGGCAGAGTGGCAAGAGCACCCTAAAGCTTCGTGAGGTGTGGTATGGAAACGACAGGGAAGCACATGTGAAACTTAAATCGGATGTAGTCCCCCCCACTGCCTCCCGATCATAGCATGAAGGATAAAGTGCAAATACAGTAGAGCTGTTGATTTGTGTCATATACATGATGACCCCTCAGTGCAGGTCCTGCCCGCAGAGCCTGAATTTCTTTGCTTTCAGCACAGATGCATGTTTTTGTGCGTTACAGACTCGGATTGTCCTGGACTGCGGCCCTGATAACATTTGCATTCCAGACCTGAGGCTCTCTGCTGCCATGTGAGTAGGACTTCCTTAATCTTGTTCCTTGTTCCTTGTGGTCCGTGCTGCTGCTTTAGGAAAGCTTTGCAGTCCTGGACCACATGGTCTGTGCATCCTCATTCCAGCTCAGTCAGGTAATGAACTGAATGCATTGTCCAGCTCATAGCATTCTTATATTCTGGCAACCTGCAGATGTCTCATGCCTCAGACAAGAACGTTCACAGATTTCTTAATAGCCAAATCTGTGGTTCTTATTTCACAGAAGAGGGCTCTTAGCTTACCAGGAAAAGGCCTGAACTCCTGATGCTTGTGTTGACTTCTTTGCAGGCAGATGGAGCGACTTCTAATCGGAGATGACAACCCAGTGCTGCTGACCATCGGCGCAGAGAACCGGGGGGAGGGAGCCTATGAGACAGAGCTGTACATCTGGCCCCCACCTCACACACATTACCAGGGCGTGCTAAGGCAAAGAGAGGTGCTTGTTCCTGATTCTGGTCCCCTTAATTTAGAGGATACCATCGGGGTCTGGGGTCCTATGAGAATGGACAGGGCAGTACAGCCAGCCTAAGGCTGAAAAAAACGTTGAACTGACCAACATCCCAGTTTGCTGTCAGTTGCATTTGACCATTTCAGTTGGCGAAATTGAATGTTGTTTGAGAGGGGAGCTGTGTCAGCATGCACGGGCTGCAAGGGAACAAGTAAAGGTTTATTCCATGCTGAAAAGAGAAGAAAAGAAACACAATGTTTCGGCTGTGGAGCCTTTTTCAGGTGACACCCACAGCCTTCTTTGACAGCCAGTGTTTCTTTTCTCTCTTTTCAGCATGGGATAAACCTTTACTTGTTAAATTGCATATTGTTGATCACATACCTTGTAGAGAAAGAATACCTCTCTATACAAACAATCATTTGATCATCATGATCATTCATCGTGAAATAACAGATTAACCAATTTTTTGTGTTATATAGTAATGTATCAACTTTGTTTTTCGCTGACTCACAAGTAAAAACAAGTCCAGTAATACCGATCAATAAGCTGTCTGCTCTGGATCGGCAGGGATAGCAACTTCTTTGCAATGAGATTTATAATTTAATGTCTTTCAGTTCAGGGTCCACTTGTTAGTCTTGTCCTGTCTCAAAGAATCCCAGGAATGATCAAATCAGATGATCAACTGCCCTTAATGTGTTCTCAAAAGCCCACATACAGAGCTGTGTATTTGTTAACCCAAACATTGTGATTTGTCAATGCCTGTCTACAACTTAATGTTTCAAAGGAGAAGCTCACTGTGTTTGGGCTTGGCTATGACAGTCCAGGGACCACTTTTTCCACCTCTAAAGCATAACTGAATTGTAAGTAATTTATGCTGATCAGCGTGTACTGCTGTACACACATTTTTATCTGTCTTCTAGGGTTTCAGCGGGCTGATGTGTAATCAGAAGAAGGAGAACAGGACGGTGGTGGTGATGTGCAATTTGGGGAACCCAATGAAAACAGGGGAGAAGGTAATTCAATGGCCTAGAGGATGTACTTGAGTGAACAGTGGGTCGATAGATGGGCCTATCATGGTGCTTGTGAACTATCGAGACACTATAATAATAAGACAAGCCCTGGAACAGGAAGAATCAATCTGTTCCTTTTGTGTTTTCCTCTCCAGCTGAACGCGGGTCTCTACTTCAGTGTCGGCAACTTGGAAGAGGCGGGGAGCAGCGTGTTGTTTCAATTGCAGATAAAAAGGCAGGTTTGACCCTCCTGAACTAATGGTTAAAATTTAAAGATTTGATCCAGTACCAAAATGCTTGTTTCAAATTTACTTGCTGGCATAGTTTATTCAATAGAGGCTTCTATTCAATGAAAACAGCATCAGGTAAGCCTATAATGCTCTTTAATATTTTTGGGGATTTAGAAAATGCTTTGTAGTTCTTTTTTAAATCAATATAAATGGTGAAAATACAGTATTTCAAGAACACATACTCATTATGTTTTTGTTCATATTTCAAGTATCCCAATGTTTGCCATGTATTAATCTGTTAATGATAAAAGCCTTACTTATTGTGTCCAAACATAAGTAATAATCTGTATTTTATTAGACACATCTCTAAAGTGTTTCAGAGGAAATGGAAAGCAAGGTGAGATCTTAACTTTTCTCCATTTGAACTGTCTTTCAAGCAAAAACAGTCAAAGTCCAAACAGCAACATGGTCTCTCTGAGAGTCAATGTCAGCGCAGTGGCCCATCTGGAATTACGAGGGTTTGTCTGTCTCTTTTCATTTTGCAGTACTTTGACATGTTTAAGCAAAGCATAAAAATTAAATGAATTGTAGGATGTTTTTTCTTTACATTTTTTAGATTGAATTTAGAATTCTAAAAGCAGTTATGTGTTTTGTTAAAAAATAATAAACTGCTACTCTTTATGATCAGGCTTGGTGGAGTCACTAGGCCCGTTGCCATGGAGACTATATGGAGGAAAACCATAGCATGGCAGCAACAGGCTGACAGCCCTCTCCCCAGGATCAGTTTCCTGGCACTTCACATCCCCTTGAAGACAGTATTCTTAATTTTAAAAATGTTATCTGGAACTGGTGGAAGCCTGGCCTTGGAAAATAAAACTAAGAGAGGTCTAAAACGTTCTCTGTTATCCATAACATTTACTGTTCCTGAATGATTTTGCGAGCTGTCATTAGTATTTTCATCTCATAATCATTAGTGCCCAGAGAGAGCACCATTTTTCACTTACAATAATTTCAAATTTTACCAGTCATTTTTGAGAAAACAACTGATTTATTAGTAAAACGACTAATTCAAGAAGGTAATGGTATTAAACATTAGCGTTTAAAGTATTTGCACACAACATATTTGGATGTGTGGCTTTTGCTGTTTTTTAACAAGTGGAACAGCCATAGTGTTTGCTTTTCTATGCTAATTGTGAGAAACAATGTGAAACCAGGTTTTTCCCTTTTTTAAAACGGCTTCATCTTCACTTTGTGCTTTCCAGGGGTTCTTCTCCAGCTGAGCAGGTCCTGCCTATAGCAAAGTGGGAGCCAAAGGAACCCCCTCAAGTCATCGATGACATCGGACCACTGGTGGAGCATGTGTATGAAGTATGTTTCCCATAGTGAACACTTCTAAGAGAGAAAGAAATCTAGCAAAATAAAAGGAGGCCATTTTACTGCTTTTTGATCCAAGGATTCTGTTCAGCTGTTTTTGTTGAAGGCTCCCAGGAAATCAACTTCAACCACACAACTGGACAATTTGTTTCCGACACCCACCACTCTTTGCGTAATAAAACACTTCCTGATTTCAGTTCCAGTGGACCAATGGTGTGCTTTCCAATTGTGTTCTCTAGCCCTTGGTTTCCTATGTTGATCCTTTTAGTTTTAACAAAGATGGGAAACATAGTGATATTTACAGTATCTGGAAGAAATATTGACCTCCTGCCCCAGGTAAGATAAAGAACCTAAGGCAGAGAAAATACAGAAAGAGGTTACATTTTAGAGTTAATTCTGTTCAAGAAACTAAGGATAACACACAGATCTGCAAACTTTATAAAATTGTACGCATTGTACAATTGTGAATGTAAAAAATTGTAGATTGCTTAAATGGTTTAAAAATATTTGTTTTAATAACATAGTCAAGATTTGGATATAGTTAATATCTGCATCTAGACAAAGAATATATCTGGCAGTCTAATAAAGATAACTGATGTGACAGAAGATGTAAGTCAGATGTAGAAATAGGACAATAACAGTCAATGAAACAAGACCTCCCTTTGTCCTTCCTGATAAAGATTTGTGGTGACAAAAACATAAAGCATTTCAATAAGAATGTGAGCATATTATTGATGGTAACGAAATTGGTCATGAACTTTGCACAAATCGGGTTAAGGATTGCGGTCTTGTCCGAGTTGCTGCCAAAATCTGTCCTGTCCTGTCCTGTCCTGTCCTGTCCTGTCCTGTCCTGTCCTGTCCTGTCCTGTCCTGTCCTGTCCTGTCCTG